ATGGGAATTAGCGTGACAATCACCATTTCTATTCTATCCTCTATTTTTATTATACGGATCACTCTTTCTACACTATCCTCTATCCCTTTACTATTCACTATACTATTTCTCTATACTGATCACTATTTGGTGGTTACTTTTTGAGTGAATATTATCAAGCAAGTACTATTAGTGTGAGTGTTATTTGAAGGCATCTGACACCAGTATTGTTCAAAGGTGTACTATAGTTGTATCTGTGATTACAAAGTCTCTACTGCAATGAGCATTATGAAAGTAACGAGTATTCGTTGACATTACAAAAGTGTCAATGAGTGTTCGTTGACATCACAAAAAATACAAGTGACGAAACAATAGCTGAAAGGAAAGAATGACAAATATGCACTGTTTTCAAAGAGATTTTTTATACCACTATGCCATACAAGAAATCTTAGACAAACAATGTACGAAAGAAAATCATGGAGCATTGTAGTTTAAAAGCAGTAAAATCGACCTTGCTAACCAAAACGCTCCTCTGTGGCTCAATCAGTAAAGCACATCAGGCTATATGATGGTTCCATATAGGATACAGGTTCGATTCCTATCAGAGGACACATATTTTCTTTGAAAATTTCTTGGACATTCAGGCCGGTAAATGTTGTTAATACTGTTTATTATAAACAGAGTATTTACATAAATATTTGTATCTATAAAAAGAACATATAAACATAAAAAATGTCTTAAATTAATATATATATATATATCTGTAACTATTTGGCCCACACAGAGAAATTATAACATATATGAATGCAACAAGTAGTGTGAAAGGAGCAAAAAATGTGAGGGTCTTCCTTCTAATATTTATTGAAAATGGGCAGGCTGGTGGTATCCTCTGAGGTAGAACCATATAGTTACCTCTGCTCTCTTAACTGTCAGACTTATGGCCATATCATATTGAAACACTGCTCTTTGTATGATCATCAAAGTTAAGCAATGTCGAGCATGTTCAGAATCCAGATTGGTGACTGCTTGGGCATACCAGGTTCTGTAAGCTTCAATGTATGGCTGGTGTAATGGATAATGCCTTAGAATTTTTAATTGGAAAGCAGAATTCCAATTCCAGTTGAGTTTGTTTTATTCACTTACATGCAAATACAGTCGGCAAAGGTAAGAATCCCCTCCTCTTCTTCCTTCAGCTATGGATTAATAAGTAGGTCTTTTATCAGTAAATTAATATTATCTAAAAAAAAAAAAACTTATAATCTAAAAAAATATTTTCTGGCTTTAAATAACCTGTTATGGGTTAATAAACTGTAAAAAAAAAACAATCAATTAAATCTTAACTGCTGTGGGTTGTCATCTCTTGCTTCTCTGCAGTCTACATAGCAACTGAACTGATGTCACTCACTGGTCATCATGTGAATTTATCATGAGGTTATCTTTCAGATAATCACACTTTGCATCCCTAATGACGCTGTTTGATCATCGAAATATGTCAATATAAGAGGTCTCCAAATTGTCTTATGTATTTACCTTTACTCACTTTCTGAAAAAGTCTCTCTTTTTTTTTATTCTTATCTAACTTTAAATTTCTTTCATAGAATGCACACTTCTCAGATAGTTGAATTTTTGCTCTTGGTTGATTTTCATGTCTCATGTTTCATGCATAATTCATATCTCTGACTGCATCTTTTGATGACAACTATTCATTCTGTCTTCTTACAATTAATGCTTAGTTAGTTCTTCTTGCTTTCAAGCCATTACTATGTTTAATCCTCATTGGGTACTTTCTGGCAGTAGTTTTATAACAAATTTATAGTGAGTTTAGTAAATATCAGATTATTAACCAATGCTGCAATGGTTAGTAACCTAATCTTGCCAGCCATTGTTAGTATGTTCACTGTTTCTTTTGTGACATTAACTTATTCTGGGTATGATGATAAACTACATCTGGCATCAAGGCTTCTGATTGCAAGGTTTTAAGGAGCATGGAACCACTTCTTAATTGCTGTTTCCAGGTCCATCCTGAACAGGGGTGGTAACACCTGTTAGTCCCAATTACAGGCAAATAGTAAACCCTCAAAACTGGGGTCAAAACATTATGAAAGTATAAAAATACATTTTTGTGGTAAGAATACCAGCAATACATTTTCACAAAAAAAAATTACCAGAAATATATTATTGGAAAAGAGAAAAATTACCAGCAATACATTATTGAAAAAGAAAGAGAAAAATTACCAGAAATACATTATTGGAAAAAAATTACCAAATCTCCCAAGAAAATTAAATGACCCACAAGGAGTTGATATGCAGTTAACCAAGCCTGTAATATTAAGATGAAACTCACAACTAACCTTTTTGTTGAGTGAGAGGCCATGATTAAATGTCAATAAATGGCAGAACTGCCCAACAAACAGAATTGACAAAGTTTGTAATAAGCAATAACAAGATAAAGGAAAAGAAAAGAATGGTCAAAAATAGTATAAAGCAAGCAAACAATATATGCAAGGCAAATTAAACACTAATATGGCAAAAATGTTCACAAACTAAGAATTGAGGTTGGCACGCAAAAGCAAATACAGATAACTGAACATAGCATTCTGACTTCAAGACAAAACAGACTGGGACTGAGTTATATGAAACCGAGAACTGGCCTATGTTATTGGCTCGGAAGAAATGCCATCATGCATTTGTGTGCTTCTGCCTATAAATTGGGAAGTGGGGAAAGTATTTTGCAATCATTCCCACAATTGGATTAGAACCAACATTCTTGATCATCAAACTGAGGTTACTAGGTTAGAGATCCTGTTTTGAGAAAATGGGCAAACAAAAGAGTGAAACAAAACAAGATAGAAATATTTACTTTATCGAGAACATCTTTTGTGTAGAGAAAACTTCAAGGAATGTTCCTAAGAGTCTTTGTAAATAAAGAAGGAAAAGTTGCGAGTGAGTGAGGTGTACTGCTTACATCATGTTGTTTCTTTTGCATGGAGCAATGGTTTACTTCAACCCAAAGTAACAAAGAACTAGTCTCCCAGGTTCACAGTGTACTTGCTCCCTGTTTTTTTTTTCTTTTTATTTGTGCACAAAAAGCTTAAATGGGATAATTTCTTCTGCTGATAGGATTTTTTATGCATGTGTGGGGCAAAATGGTTTAATGTTTGCTATACATTAAAGATCAGTGAACTGTACATAAAATAATAATAAAATTTTAAATAAAATAAAAAATTTTTCTAAAAGTAATCCATTTCTAGGTCAGCTGCTAAGAAAGTTGGTTCACTGTGCCATGCAAGATAATTTTTCTCTCCAGAATCTATCATACATATCTATAAGTCCACCATTTGTTCAGGCTTAGAATATTGCTACCATGTATGGTTCAGTTTTCCTGCCATTTACCTTGAGCTCCTTGATAAAATCCAAAAAAGAATCAGCAATATTATCATTCCTGATCTGGCAGCTCAGCTTCAGTCACTTTTTGACCACTGTAAGGTTGCTTTCCTCTGTTTTTTTCTATAAATACTTTCATGATAATTGTTTAGATGAGCTCTTCACTATGGTACCTAGACTTTTTGATTTTAAGCACAGTACTAAACTGGTGTCGAGATCTCATCAAATTACAATTAGGCTGGCTAGATGTGAACCGTAAATTCTATGCTAACAGTTTCTTTTCTCTCACTTCTCATTTGTGGAACTCCCTTCTGGCTCCATACTTTGCAGCCAACTTTAATCTCCAAAAATTTCAATGCAATGTCAATCACCATCTATTGTCCTCCTGATTACTCTTTTCTCTTCCCACTTACTAGTAATGTTTCTGTTCCACACCCAGTAATCCCTTGTGTCTTAGTGGCTTTACTGCCTTGCTTGGGGTGAAATCAGTTTTTTTAAAAAAAAATCAACATGACTGTTTTTCTAGAGTAAGATCTTCTCTATTGCACTCCTTGATTGACCTTTGCAATTGCTTTAAATGTGACCTTTGCAATTGCTTTAAAAGTGAACAATTTGAACTTAACGTCTTGTGTGTGTGTTTTGTTGGATTTAACTATTTGTGAAACCAACTTGAAAAGACCTACTACCACATTGTTCATTAAAGAACCACTTTGATTTCCAGGTCAACCACTTTTCTTAGCATCTGGACTTATTCTTAGGATTCCCAACCATGGGAGTTGGCAAGATTTCAAATTTCTATCACTCTGCAACTGCTGAGGTCAGCTAGGTCATCTTACTTTTTAAAAATCTTTTCAGGCATTTCATTATCTGATGTCCCTGTTACCAGATGCCACCCTGAATATAGATAGACTTTAGGATTTAAGAGAAAAAGAGCAGTTGGATTTGGTAGTCTAGAGTGTTGATATAACAACTTCTGAGCCAGCTTATCAAATAATTTCAAGATTTTAATTTATTTTTCCTCTTAGGTGTATCTAATTTAAATAATAATTATTATAACAAGCTTATACTACTTGGGGGTCTTAGATTTTATAAATATATGGATTTACTGGTTGTGTAAAAGTTACAAAAGATTAGTAGCAACAACTTTCCAAGTTGTAACTGTCTTGAGAATTAGCAATAAATTTATTTTCATCTTGAGATAAACTGACTTTGATGATAAATTCTCCTCCTTTTGTCTATCACTTTACAAAAAGTCATAATTTTTTTTCACCCCCAAGCAAAGCAATAAAGTCACTAACATGCAAGGGGTTACTGAGTGTTAGAGAATATGAGAAAACAAAAACACTTTTAAAGAGAGATTGAATGATTAATTCATTTTTTATGTCTTATCAACCCATTGCAGATTATTTAAAACTAGAAAATATTTTTTTAAATTATAAGAATTTTTTTGAGTTAATAATGGTTTAGTGATTGAAGTCTTACTAATTAACCCATAGTTAGGGGAGAAGAGGTAGATTTATACCTTTCCCAAGGGTATTTGCGCATAAGTGAATATAATGAACCCAATGGGAATTGGAACTCAGCTCTCTGATTAACAATTCTGAGCCATTACATGTTATACCATCTGCACAGCCAAGCTTACAGTCCCTGGTATTCCCAGGTGGTTACCCATCTAGGTACTGCACAGGCTCAGCGTTGCTTAACTTCAGTCACTGTACAGGAACTGGTGTTTGAACATGATGTGGCTGTAAGCCTATTAAAGAGAGAAGACAATAAAAGAACAAGAATTAAGACAAAAGATAATGATTGACATAACAAATATTGTCTGAAAAATTGAACCTGTTATCTATATATTTGCTACTATTAACACAATGTCTTGGTTGATCTATTCTTCAGCCTTAGTCAGGTAAACTTTTAAAAAGCAAAGTTTCCTTCTTCAAGGAAAGAAAAAAAAGGTGACTAACAACTGGATTGTTCCATTTCAGCAGCAATAGGTCTACCACATACAAGAATGTATAGTATTTGACAGAAAGAGTCATTCAGTTCTATATTACATTCGGTTCATAAACTGATCCTTCATTTAGAGGGGGATAGCAGATTCTCTATATTTTGTATAACAGGGATGTCCAACCTGCAAGCTGCACTGCAGCCTGCTTAATATTTTCAATGGCCCACTGCACCCTAAAATCTTTAGGTATATTTTCATTTACTTTAGTAATGTATGTTGAAAAAACTTTTTTCAGATTGTGCTAGTAGGTTCAATTCTCCATTTCAATAAAAGGGAAGGGAGCAAAGGCTTTTGCCGAGACACACTGGCTGGTGTGTGGGGCAAGAGCCAGAGCTGAATAAAAATTATTTAGCTTATCTAAAAAACTGTTATGCATGGATAGTACATACTGCTGTGAACAATTCTTTTCAGGCATGAAAAATATCAAAACTGCTGAATGTAATGGATTGAAGGATTCTCATTTAAGTTGTAGCTGTCACACCAAAATGGACCTGCTGGAACAGGGCAGTCGTCTCTCGTACTGGGTAGTCGTCTCTCGTAACATTGCATTATAGACATTGTAGCCATCACGCCAAAAAAGTCCCCCTGGAACAGGGCAGTTGTCTCTTGTATGGGGCAGTCGTCTCTCGTACAGTGCAGTTGTCTCTCGGCGTCTTTGTTGGTTCCCTTGGCCCCCACTGCCAAAGCCTTCAGACACACTCATTTTATAGACCATGACGAAGCAGCCAATCGGTTGAGTGGGAGAGTTTTACATATGTGTAGGCGCACTTCGTTAATTTTCTTTTATTTTTTAATTGCTCTGTGACACCATGCGAATACAATGTGTGGGTGCTTTCAGACATGATGTTGCATATCTCGCTCACGACAATCACCCTCCTCCCTGATTTAAGGATCACACAAATGACAGCGTGGTGCGGGTCGTTTTATCCTGCTACTTTGTCTCAGTGGAACAGGCTTGGCTATTTCCTCAGTTGTACTTTCCTCTGTCGTATCGTCGAGTTGAACTCATTCGAGGATGCCACTTGCACTTGTTGAAGTTGTGTCTTCCTGCATCTGCCCCTCATAAACCATAGAGGTTTCTTCGTCTGAGGTGGTATCATGATTGCTGGTAGTCTCCACCCCATGCACTGGGCAAACATCTTTTACATGGCGTGGGATTGAATGAGAGCCACAGACTTTCATCACTTTCCCCTTCTTGAACTTTGTTGTACACCGTCCACGCATTCTCTTCACCCAAACAACATCTCCTGTAGTGTATGTTCCAGAACCTGCAATGTCAGGTGTGGTATCAATGCCCTTCACATGAGTGCGGTAGGTATAAATTAAGTTGGCTGGTGCTGTTGAAGCAGTGGTGTCGTCCTGTGGTGTCACATTATGCCAGTATACTGCCTCCATAAGAGAGAATTGTATTCTCGCGGTGATGCGCTTTATCATGTGGTGGGATCTTTCTACTATCCCATTTCCCCATGGTACGTGGGTACATCAGTATCTTATCTGGATGCCCCATTCCTTCGCAAGTCTTGTGAATCTTTCCCCACAAAACACTCTAGCATTGTTGGCAAGCAGTTCAATCAGTGGTCCTCTTTCAAAAAAAGATTGTCTCCAACTGCCGGATGATGCTGGTGGAATCTTGGCACTGCAATGGCCTCCAAATGGCAAACCAACTAGAACCACAGGTAGTACTGGCTCCTGAAATGGGTCATATCCATTCCTACACTGTTCCAATTGTAGCATACAAAAAACCTGCATGGCTTCCAATGTACCGGGGCAGGTTCTATGGATTAACATTCCCTACAATCCCCGACTACTGCCCAAACTGCTGCTCTGGAAACTCCAGGAATGACCAATTTTACAAAGTTAAGTGTGCAGTTCACACTGAGGTGTCCACTAGACTGATCAATGGTTTGTATATGAGCAGACTCCTCGCCTTCTGCAGCCACAGTGCATGACCGTTCTACAAGTTGTGTCTCTTTTTGAATATCATCCAACCATCACTGCAGCACTCTGGTGAGCTGATCAGTCTGGTTATCATGAGACCTAACTAATGCTACGTCAATCTTCAGCTCATATTCCGAGGCCAGATGACAAAGCATGCCAAGACAGCATCTCAGTGGCAGCCATGGTTTGTATCCTCGACTTTCCGCACAACGTGTCTGAGATCCAGCGATGCACACACACACACCGAGTCCATCTTCAGGTGAATCACCTTTGCTTTCCACTGCAGTGTGAGGTTGATGCCCTGCAGCACTGCGTCAAGTTCTGCCAAGTTGATGTGCTTATCCTCACTCATTAGTTGCAGCCAACTAGCATCTTTAACCATGGATCCACTGCTCTCAATGATGACACCAGTAGCTAATGAGCTTGCATCTACCAATACAGTGACATCCTGTCCATCAACGCACCAGTTCCCATGCACTGGATTTGTTTGCCCCACTCTGGCAAAAATGGCCACCAACATCCGGCTCAAGAGGGGGTCTCGTATTTTATCATCCCATCCAGTTGTCACGGCATTTGCTCTACACTTTATGAATGCAGTTGCAACACGTAGCCAGCCGCACACCGGAAAATGTCCTGTTAATTTCCCCACACACAGAGAAAATATTTTGACATGTTAGTACATTGTGCAACGTCAGTAGCTTACTTTCATGACTCCACTGAAGCTTGTTGCGCTCCTCCCAGACGTGCAATCCTAACACACGTGTGCCGCTCTGGGGCCTTGCACGTAAGCTCAAATCACTCAAAGTTCTCATTTTACGCAGGATGCAGGGCATATGTTCTCATTGACGAATACATCGTCAATGTATGAAGATGTAGCTTCGTTGATTTTCTCATCTTGCGCAACCATGGTGTTAATGATGGACCGCATTATCAGGGGTGCCACGTTAAGCCCGAACTCCAAGCAAGTGAGGCAGTATCTTTTCCCCTTGATTTCTAATGTCTGGAATGGCCACAAGGACTTATTAACGTGAACTTGCAAGTAGGCTCAGTGCAAGTCTAACCCAGCAATGTCTGAACCTTGCTTCCACCACTCTCTTAATTTGTGTGCACATACATCTGCACTGGCAGCGTATACATCTACATGCTCATTGAGCTCACGGTAGTCCATGACAGGCCAAACCTTTTTATTTTCCTGTAGGATGGCCATTAGAGGAATCAGACCCTTTGGGGGTCCAAGCTTGTCTTCAGGGTATGGAAACAGCCAGCCATTTTCTATTCAAGTTTACAGCTCTTTGTTGTACTCAGCCCGAAGTTGCTCAGGAGTAGGATATTCTGACAGCCCGTGTTTTAATGTAACTGGCGACTGGGCACTGGACCACTTCCATGATGCGATTCATATCCATCTGTTAGCGTCAAACTCTGCTTGGAAATCAGGCTCATTGATGGTGATGGCAGGGCAGATTGGCTTGTGGCATTGGGGAAATTTTACCTCACCTGTGCTAGTCATAGACATCCCAACAAGCTGTTTGATTGCGTCCAGCCCAAGCAACAAGTCAAATCCGAGTCATCCCTTGTCCATGATCAGAGCTATGTTAATAGAGGGTCTGTCGCTTATGCCAAGCCAGACCACCCCAACTCCACAGCACCTAAGGGTATTCCCACCTACAGTCAGGATGTGTACCTCCTTTCTCTCCCACACCTGGTAGCATGCTTTGCATATCAGTATTTGGGTGCAGCCAATGTTCACAAGAGCTAAGCGCCACATTCCATCGATCTGACAGTCATTGTAGATAGCGCTCTAATTAAAGGGGATCTGGGGAGAAGGCTGGTGCTGAAGCCTCATCCCCCTGCCCGTTTCCGTTTCAGGCCATATGTCCCCGCTGCTTACACCGATAGCATGTGTCCGGTCTTCGGGGTTCAGCATTCTCTTTCCTTGATGTTTCACACTACGAGTCACGTGCCAAGTGATTGGGCTCACCGCAAACATAGCATTAACTAGGTATTGAACTCACACTCTTTGGGTCCTGTCACTGGATCTAACCAACGCCTTTATCCACTGTGCCATGTGTCCTTGGAGAACTTGGAGAGGGGAATTAACAGGAGATAACTGATAACTGACATCCATTAAACATGGCACATGGAACTAGAACAGTCTACCCCAGTAAGCGAAATAAAGGGTTCAGTACGACATTACAACCACCTGAAGAAGGCCGGAGCAGACAACGGCCGAAATGTAATAAATATGGCGACAAAGATGAGGACAATAGTCCAAATAATGTAAATAGTGGACAAAATTTTTATTGCTGGTAGTATTTCATTTTGTCAAAAATCTATTTCTGATAATGTTTACATTCAAAAATGTGTCCTGGTAATAATTTTTTTCCAAAAAACTTGCCGGTAATATTTTTTTCCTCAAAAATGTATAGCTGGTAATATTTTTTTTTTCAAAAATATATTGCTGGTAATATTTTTTTTTCTTCAAAAATTTATTGCTGGAAATAAATTTTTACAAGGTATTTCTGGTATTAAACCCTATTTTTACACTTTCATAGTGTTTTTACCCCAGTTTCAGGGTTAACTATTAGCTGGGACCCTAACATTTGCTACCACCCCAGGTCAGGGCAGATCTGGGAACACCAGCAATTAAGAGGTGGTTCCATGCTCCTCAAAACCTCCTTATTAGAGGCTTTGCTGTTAGATGTAGTTTATCGTCTTACCCAGGACGGTAATGTCAGAATAAGTTTATAAAGAAAAACTATGGCCTTAAATGTAATGAAGTTGACTTATTTATGCTGGACGGTAGAATGCCTACTTTTTCTGTATAAATTTAGTAAAACCATTAAATGGTTAACTACTTTTTGTTCATACTGGTAATAATGACCTGGACCATATTTTACATTGCTTGGACTTTCTACCTGTCACAATGGAGCACCATTGACATACAAAGTGATATGAATATTCTTGACTGGAAAAAAAAATGTAATATGAATAATCTTGACTGTATGGTTTTTATTTTTGTCTGTTTTTCTTGTTTTGGCACAAAGCACATTTTGTGAGCTTATTTACACCAACATCTAACAGCTTCAAAATCAAAGTCATTCCGCTGGGAATGGTAGCAAGTTCACAGTTGTCACTTCTTAATACATCTTTCACATAGTCTGTTCAACCTATACCAGTCACTATCCAAAACTAATAAACTATATTCACAGGTATACACAGGTATTGGGATGTCATCTCCATACAAGTCTTAGTGCTAGATTCGGCCATCCTGCATTTTTTGTAAATGCTAACAATTATGCCTTTTGGAAAGTTCAACTTTGGCAATGTCTTTCTTTTGAAGATAACATGGTGGCAATTTTGTTCCGTCTCCCAAGCATGTTAGCATCACAGTTAAATCTATTCTTTTCATTTCCAGTTGTTCTTATTTTAACTGATTTTTCATTAACATGTGTCATTATTATTGTGTCATACAGCAAATCAAATGTTAACATGGTCTGGTCTGTATTCTTAGTTTAATATTCTTGGTTCAATATTATATTTTCTAACAAAGTTTCAAGGACACATGGCACAGTGGATAAAGGCATTAGTTAGATCCAGTGACAGGACCCAAAGAGTGTGAGTTCAATACCTGGTTAAGGCGGTGGAGAACTTAGCGAGGGGAATTAACAGGAGATAACTGATAACTGACATCCATTAAACATGGCACGTGGAACTAGAACAGTCTACCCCAGTAAGTGAAATAAAGGGTTCAGTACGACATTCCAACCACCTGAAGAAGGCCGGAGCAGATAACAGCCAAAACGTAATAAATATGGCGACAAAGATGAGGACAATAGTCCGAATAATGTAAATAGTGTACATAATAGCTCATCTCAGAAATATAGACAGATATATTGTCTAACTCTGAAAGTTTGTTAACTTTTCCTCGTAATCTTCAGGAAGTCTTTGCATCATACACTTAAGTCATAACGGTTCATAAAATGATAGCACCAGTTTAACGAAACAACATTGAACCTGGTCAGTACCTAGATGAATGACCACTTGGTAATACCAGAGGCTGTAAGCTTAGATGTGTAGGTTGTGTAATGGATAAGGGGTCAGAATGAGAAATTGGAGAGCCAAGTTTGAATTCCAGTCAGGTTCATTGCATTCATCACCTTGGGAAAGGTATGAACGCACCCCTTCTTCCCCCATCTCTGAGTTAAAATAGTAAGACTTGCATCTGAAAATCATTATCTCCAAGAAATTATAAATACTCAAAAAAAAAAAAAAAATTCTTCTTACAAGCTAAATTTTTTTTGGCTTTCAATAACCTGCAAAAGGTTGATAAGCCATAAAAAATAAATCAGTCAATCAAAAATATTTATTGATTTGTTATATAATGAAGATAAGCATTACTTTTTGTTCACCTTATACAAATTTCAAGAGCCACTCTAGGTAGAGGGTTATAGTGTAAGTGGTAAGGTACACAGTTTATGAAAATATGTGAAGAAGATAACGATTAACTCTAGACTTGAACAGATTAAGATTTTAGGGATTGGGGAAACATCCTCTTGGGAGTAAATTCCTTAAATTCATCTCAAGATTCTCGACAAGATTCAAAGAAGGATCTGTAATGTAATCAGTCCTGAATTTACTTCTTGTCTTCAGACACTTTCTCACAGATATGATGTGGCTTCCCTCTGTCTTTTCTACAAATATTTTCTTGGCTACTGCTTTGACAAGCTTTTTTCCCTGGTGCCCTGACTACATGAATTTAAACATGCTACTAGATTGGTATCTAGGTCACACCCATTTACAGTTGAAATAGTTAAATGTAAACACCACTTTTACTTCAACAGTTTCTTTTCTTGCACTTCCCAACATTGGAAATCCCTTCCTCTCACTTGCTTCCTTGATAACTACAATCTTCAAAAATTTAAATGCAATGTCAATTGCCATCTTCTGTTGCTTTGATCCCTGTCCTTTGTTCCTTTCCTCAATCACACCTACTCTCACTTTCACTCTTTGTAACCCCCCCCCAAAACCCGGTGTGCTACTGGTACACCTGCCTTGCTTGGGCTGAAATGCTTAAAAAAAAATAACTTTGTGTGAATACTCTTAGGCTTCTAATACAAGGGAAGAGACGGATCTTAATAATCATGGGGATGGTTTCAGTAGGCAATAAATGGGGTGTGTCTTAATAAAAGGGAATCCTGAAAATTATTGAAAAGTTCAAAATGGATGTAGATAATAAATAGGATTGTTTTAAGATGGAGGCCAGAAAATTTCCTCAATAAATAAATAAACAAACATACCTTTTCTTTTAAACTTGATTTTTGTTTAAAATGAAAAAAAAAACAAAACATGTACACATATTGATGGGAAAATTTTTCAAGCTGAAAAATTAGGTAATTTCATTATTTACATTGTTCAGACTGTTGTCCTCATCTTCGTTGCCATATTGCTTTTTTTTTAAAAAAGCAAGAAATAAAATCCAAAATAGATTTTTTTTTTTTCTTTTTGAGATGATTGTTATTTGTAATCTGATGTTTTGTTTTTTCAGAACAGTTCCGAAGTGCCAAACTGAGTACGTTCAACAATAACTGGAGCGGCATTTTTGATTTTACCGAAGTTGCAGGAGAATCCAATATATCATTATTGCCGCCTGTAAGTGGACAATTCTTTCCAGACATTATTATTTTCGTCTCAACAACCAAAATTTGGGGATTGATGTTTCAAAATATACAATTGAAACCTGTTTTTTTTTTTTCTTTTTGTCATAAGAAAGCATATTAACCCATTCAGGGCAAAACAATATTAATATTTTCCTTATTTTACTGAAACTAAAGTGCAAATATTTCTTCAGTTTATGGAGGGAATTATGGATAATTGAATATTGCAAAAGTTGGCAATGGTTTTGGAGATTTCTTGTTGAATGATAATCCATGGTCAGCTCAACTTGTTGAGGTTGATGATAATGGTCAAGTTGACCAGTTGTGCTTGATAGTAATGTTGCTTCTCAACCCGGTTGCCCAACATTGCCTCTTGGTCAAGTCGACCAAATCAGGTTGCTTCTCAGTCAGGTTGATCAGTCAAGGTTGATGGCAACATTGCCTCTCAGTCAGGTTGACTAGCAGATGTCGATAGCAATCTAATGAAAGTATTACCTGAGAATAATCAGTATGATACCGTCATAAAAAGACTATCAGTAAGAGGTCACCAGACACTCCTGTCTTGGGCTTCTGTATCCCTGTCTAAAAATATTTCATTAAAAATTGTAATTTTTTTTTTTTTTTTTTACTTTCATCAACTCATCAGCTTATATATAATTTCTAAGATAAGGATTGGGAGAAGGTAGTTTATTCCTTTTTGAAATGTCTTCAGCCCTTGTACTCATTTCTTCAGCCCTTCATTCTGTTGTCCTTGTCTAGGGGACATAACTCATCTTGTTCTTATTTAGTAGTGTTCACTTATTAATAAAAGAAATAATAAAATAGATTTTCTGTGATCAATACAATCATTCTTGTTGATAATCCTGATGAATTGTTGAAAAATTACAAACTATGAGCCAACCTTCAATAAGTATTGTACATTATTACTTCTAATTTAATAATAATTATCTTCCTAGTCTGATATTGAACATTTTATTATCAGAAATTATGTTAAATTTGATATACATTAAATTATATAATTTTACATATATTAATTGCTAGTATTAATAGCTAGCATTTTTATCATATATATATATATATATATATATATATATATATATATATATATATATATATATATATATAGTGAATAAAAAAGAGACAAGAGGAAAATCTATTCTTAGCCTATGTGTTTTAGTCCTCTGAGAGACTTTATCAGGGCAGTCAGAGGACGAAATGCATTGGCTAAGAATAATTTTATCTCTTGTCTTTTTTGATTGTGTAAAATTATTTGAAAACTATTTTCTTTACAATAAAAAAATCAACATGGTTTTAATTTGCATTTTTAATTTTATTTTATCTTTATTATTCTATAGTAGTAAAGTTACAATATTGACAATTTTGGTGTGTAGAAAATAAGACACAAAGTTTTTAAAGTTTTAAGTTTTTTTTTTTTTTTTTTTTTTTTGGTTAACTCAGTGGTATTGCCTGTGCACTACTAAAGAAAGATAACTCTTCTTGCTTATTAAAATTTATTCACAAGAAATAGAAATCATTTTGAAACTGTCAATGATGGGGAAGTTCAGAACATTGGATTGATCTTTGGAGCTAATGGGAAAAATAAATGTTCTTTTAGGAGAGAATCAAGAATATTTTTTTGCCAAATTTCTTTCTTGACTTTTCTTATCTACAAATTGTCTGGGATTTTAAAAATGAGATTTTTGTGTTTTATTCAACAGGATATCAAAGTTGAAGATTATATTCCACTCCCAACCACAGAACCTTTGTCCAATTTGGAAATCTCTACAGAATCTTGTCGAAGTGTTGTACCACTCACGTTGGGTACTCAGAAAAGAACATCTGATGAAGTAAGTCCTTCAAAGTACACTTTGGTTTCCACTGTACTCATAATATCTGTGTGTGTGTGTGTGTGTGTGTGTGTTTCCATCTCTTTCTATCAATGTCTGTGTATTTGTGTGTCAGTGTCTCTTCATCTCTGTATGTAAACTCTCTTTTTGTGCACCTCTCTCTCTCTCTCTCTCTCTCTCTCTCTTTCCATGTGCCCACATCTCTCATTGGATGTGTATCGTTTTTCCCCCAATATACCTCTATGTCTACCTCTGTGTGTCTACCTCTGTGTGTCTATTTCTTTGTGTGTCTGTGTGTGTGTATCTCTTGGTCTTTGGGCATGTGACTCACACACACACACTTTTTAAACTAAAATTTGATTCCACCCCCCAGCCCAAGAAAAGTTGTTAATTTTGTTCAGATTAAAACCTGTTCTAAACAATCCCGCACTAAATTATTTCCCAATGAGAAAAATATGTATGTTGTGATGATAATATTCCTGAAAACAAAGGTATTGCATATGCTTGAGTATTGTGCAAGTTTTTATGATCAGTTTTTTAAGCAAAAAATGAAGAATTTTCTGATGGGCTAAATTAGAACACTATTTACATTATTCAGACTATTGCCCTCATCTTTGTTGCCATATTTATCACAACATTTCGGCCATTGTATGCTCCGGCCTTCTTCAGGTAGTTGGAATGTCGAACTGAACCCTTTATTTCACTCACTGGGGTAGACTGTTCTAGTTCCACGTGCCATGTTTAATGATGTCAGTTATCTCCTGTTAATTTCCCTCTGAAAGTTCTCCACCACCTTAACCAGGTATTGAACTCACACTCTTTATCCACTGTGCCGCATGTCCTTGAGAACATCTATGTGTGAATTTCTGGGTATTATAAACCTAAGTGTTTCTTTTGCTCTCTCCCACTATTCTCCTGAATCGGTGAGTATGTGTAGCATGCACAATGTGGCACAGTTGTAGTTATTATGCAAGGCAGATGTCACTTCATCTTCTTCTGGGATGTCCTGTCATCCAACCTGATTAATTAAGGTAAATTTTCATGATTTATATTATATATATATATTAAAACAGAGGAATTAACAGGAGATAACTGATAATTGACATCCATTAGACATGGCACGTGGAACTAGATCAGTCTACCCCAGTGAACGAAATAAAGAAAGGGTTCAGTTCAACATTCCAACCACCTGAAGAAGGCTGGAGCATACAACGGCCAAAACGTTGTGATAAATATGGCAACAAAGATAAGGACAATAGACTGAATAATGTAAGTAGTGTATATAATACCTCATCTCAGAAATATACACAGATGCTAAATTAGAAATTTAGGTATATTCACAAGGCTACAGAAGTACTTTATATACAGGGTCCAGTAGATAAATTGTCGTCTAAATTACACAAAAATGAAAATAACAATGACATCTCATTTTACCAAAATTACATAAAAATATCTTGAAATACTAAAAAGTAAATTTATTCAATAAAATCACCATTGGCTTCATCCTCCAGATGACTTTGGAATCTTCTGCAAATCTTCTGGACAGTCTCCTTTGAGTTGTTGAACAAGGGGAGGGAGTTCCACAGGCGAGAAGTGTGAGACATGAAGCTATTGGAGTAGAAGAGATGGATACATTTAACAGTTTTGACAGTGAAAGGGTGAGAGCGAGATGCCAGCCTAGTTGAACGCTTAAATTCATGAAGTCTGGGAACTCGAAAAAGCAGCTCATTGGAGCAGTTACCATGAAAGTATTTATAAAAAACACAGAGGGATGTGACAGCATGTCTCTGAGAGAGAGCGACTGCAGACGAGATGCCAGATTGTGGAGTGAATTGCGTCATGGTGCACTTTTTCTTACAGACAGTGCCTGACCCTACTACACTGTGCAGTCAACAAGATCAAAAACAAACAATATGCATGTGCATAATTAAAAATATAAAATGGTGACACCTTACCTATCGTACTCTGTAAATATGCTTTTAAAAACTTAAAAATGTGAATATCAAATTTTTATAACAAATATATATAATTACGAGAAATACAGTAAAAATAAAAAAGAAATGATACATACATAAAATAAAATAAATTCAATGTTGTTTTTGACATTCCTTTCCTTTTATAATGCTGTCAATATCTGCTTTTATGGAACTTGTCTTTATTCTAAGAATGTTAGTTAAATGAGAATCCCTCAATCCATTACCTTCAGCAGTTTTGATGTTTTTCATGCCTGAAAAGAATTGTTCACAGCAGTATATACTATCCATGCATAACAGTTTTCTAGATAAATTGGCAATTTCATTAAATTCATTGAAAGAATGAATTTATTTATAAAATTCAGGAAGGGAATTGTCTCTGATAAGTTTTCAAAGATTCCCTGTTTCAAAACTCAATGATTTCTAGCCAGTATTCGGTTGGTGCTTCCACATCATTAAATGCAAATGGATCACTAGACAATTTTAATTCAGTTTTTATTTTTCTGGGGTTAGACAATATGGTTGTAAAATCTTTTACCAAAAACTTCACATAATTTACTATATTTTTCAAAGTGCACAGAAATTTCTTTTCTTTTTAATAAACTCTGAAAATGCACAATTTCATTGGCTTTCAGTTATGTTATCAAAAGTTTTAATTTCTTAATAAAACCTATTATTCACTCAAACATTGAACAACATAACTGGTCTTTTCCTTATGAATGTAAATTAAGTTTAGACATTTCAGTGATGTCTACTGAAAAGAAAAGATCATTCAACCATTCTTCGTTTTATAAAAAATCTACATTTTGTTTCTTGCTTTACATGAACTCTTTTATTTCAGGTAATAATAATAATAATAATTAAAATCTATTCAAAGTTGCTGCCATTTGACTTTTGAGAAATACATAAAGTTTTCATACTGAAAGCCAACTTCTTCCAAGTATTTTTTGAACCCATGATGGTTCAAGCATTGAGACCGGATAAAATTCACAACTTTTACAATATCTGAATAACTGATTCATATTTAACTTTTAAGCACATAATAGCTGTTGTCAAGCAATGGTAGTTGAGTATATCATGATCGACTGATTCTTTAAATAAACTAATAAATCCATTATTTTTACCAATTAAAGCAGAAGCACCATCACTTGTAATTGAATAAATTTTATTTCTATCAATATCGAACTTTTCAATTGATAAATTAATGTATTCAAATATGTCCCTACCAGTTGTTGTACCCTTCATATGGCAAAAGTTCAACATTTTATCAATTATATTAAAATTGACATCAAATCCTCTGATGAAAATAACTAATTGTGCAGCATCACTTTGATCAGTATTTTCATCCAATGCTAAACTGTAATAAATACATTTAGATAATTGGGTCTGCAATGTATTAACAACACTGTCAGCTATGTCATCAATTCTTCTATTAATTGTCTGATGTAAGAGACTCATTTCATTGTGAGACAATATTTATTAAAAGCAATTACAATATTCATTCTTTTATTAATTCACTATCTATCAGTGGCTTTACCCTTCCAAGCCAATTTTTCAGCTATTAAATAACTAACTTTTGTGCATGTATCAGACTTAACAACAGATTTTTAAGAATATTTTGTTGAAAACTAAACTGCTTTTTTAATTCATCTATTTTCATTTATCTTCTTTCTTTGTTTAATTCATTACATTCCAACTCATGCTTGACAACATAGTGATATTCCTTGCACGCAGCAATTTTATCATTACAAATGAGGCAGATAATATTACTGCATGTTTCAATTACAAAATATTTTTCTGTCCACAGAATATTGAATTTTCTTTTAAATAGGAAATATACCTAAAGATTTTAGGGTACAGTGGGTCACATAAAAATATTAAGTTGGCTGCAGTGCAGCCTGCAGTTTGGACATATCTGCACTATACACAGGTAAATTTTGAAGAGGTTAAAAATCATGCATTTTCAGTAACCACTTGCATTATGCACAGCTAAATTTTTTTCTTGAGGGGTTAAAAATCATGCAGAATTTCAGGGGTTGCATTATACATGGCTAATGCAAGAGTACATAGGGTATATTTTTATATGAATGTAAATCTGCATGAGGAGGGTTCATAAAAGCTTTCCCTTTGCTCAACCCCAAGTGGAGTTTGTCACAAAACAAAGCCGCAAATGCAGAACCAACAAATGAGAGTCACTAATAAATGTTAGATGCCAATTGTTACGCCCAATCAGAAAAATTATCATTCATCCCCTCCCTCAAATGTCCCAACCTTGAATGTCATTAAGAAAAGGTGAAACTCATAAAAGCTAATGAGAGAAATGAAGAGAGGTGTGCTCAAAAGAGGAACTTTGTTTGAACCATGAGAAAAATCTCAATGGGAGGTGGGTCATGATATGCATTAGGTTTTAGAGGTGGGTTGGGGGTGAGGACAGATATTGTATATACTCGAGTATGGTGTGAGTTTAAAATCAGTTTTTTTTTTGTTTTTTGTTTTTTTTATTTAATGAAAAAAAAGAGTGGGGTTGCATTATACACAGGTGAATTTTTTTCTGGAGGGGGTTAAAATTCCTACAAAAAATTCATGGGTTACACTATACATGAAGTTGGCTAATGCAGGAATACAAAGGTCTATTTTTATATGAATGTAAATCTTTCAGTTTCTTTACAAAGCAGACAACAGGAGAGTTTATTTTACAAGATTAAAGGATGTGTTTCATATTTTACTATATAAAATGCCATGTATTTTTTCTTATTAATAGTCTTCTTAAGAGTCAATAGTTAGTCCTTTGTTATTGCTTTCCATTACTACAAAAAAATAAATTTGTTTACTATATATACTCAAGTATAGTGCAAATTTTTACGATCAATTTTTTTACACAAAAAATAAGGGGTCACACTATATACAGGTAATTTTTTTTTTGAAGAGTTTAAAAATGATGCATTTTCATTGACAGGTTGCACTATACACAGGTAAATCTTTTCTGGAGGGGTTAAAATTTATGCAAAGAAATGAGGTGTCACACTATATGTGAAGTCAGCTTATACACAAGTATATAAGGTATTTAAAAATGAATAATTGACAATTTATGAAAGAATAAAATAAGCAAATCTCCTCCTCTGTGCTTCAAAGCAGAAACTGTACCTAATATATTGCTTTATCTTTTTATATTTTCTTAAATAGATCTGGTAATGGTGAGGGATCAAATAAAGGTGATGACCACAGCAGTTTTGAATTTGGGAAGAATACTGAGGAGGGTTCTGGAAAATTGGAGAGTCTTGTTACTTTATCACTAGAAATTAAAACTTAATACTTCTGATAGGAGGAAAATATAATTATCATATTTGAAGTTAGGAAGAATACTAGGGATAATTCTGTTTATGAGACTTGCTGTCACTTGGATCCCATGTCATAACCTCTTATATGAAGATGGTCTTTATTTGTCTGCTGGGATTAAATTAATATTTATAATGACTTTTTTTCAGGCTCCAATCCAATTAACAACTCTCCCACATTTTTATCATATCGCTAGTTATTTAGGCTCATAATTATACTCTCAATACCTCAAGTCACTAACCAATTTCCATGCACTCGTGGGCCTCAATCAGGACCACATCCCTGTTACACTTGCTTGATTTTGACATTTCTGATTTGTAGTTTGCATCTTTGGAACTGGAGAAACCAAAATATCTTATCCATGTCTTTTGGGATTTTTCTTTTTTTTTTTTTTTTTTTATTTTTTTTTCAAAAACAAATTTGCTGGAACTAAATCTAGGCTGTCAGAAGTGGGTGACTTGTTTGCCAAAAAAAAACATGTGAAAAATCTACTTGCTTGGTCATTGTGAATGCAACAATCACACGTTTCCAAATTTAACTTGATGATGTCTCATGGGAGAAATATCTTTTCAGATATGTGCTGTAACATTGTGTCTGATTGGTTGCCAAAAATGTTATGGTATCAAAATATCCAATATGGCTGGATATATTCTGAGCCTTTCTCTAATTGTTAATTATAATCATCAATTTGTGGAATTCAAATTAACTTTGTAATTTCTTTTTATTTATTTTTTAATTTAAAGTCGAGCTTGATTGTGTTTTTCAATGATGGCAGTTCCCATGACAGAGCTGTGAAATTTATGGAAACTATGAAAGCAGAACATGTAAGTTTTCTTTTTTCTTTCTTAAAATATCTTCAAAATAAATTTTATAGTCAAAATGTCAGTTTTCTTTAACTTTTTCCTGAATCATTTATTGTTGGTTTTGGATCTGTGACTTAAAATCTCTAAAGGTGTTTCACTCTTTGTGAAGGTGTGTGCTGAAAACTGATGACACCAATACGGAGCAGATACCCTGTCACAATGACTCCAGGGAAATCCAGTAGGAGGAAACATTGGTTTTCATGGTTTTGACTTTTTTTTTTCTAAGACATTTATTTGTGGTTTTATCTAAAAATGAAAAGACATTAGCTTAGTAGTAATATTATCTTGACTTTAGCCCAGTAGATAAAAGCATTAGTTGCAGTAATCCAGGGACTTGACCTAAAGACTTGTGAGTTCAATATCTGGCCACAGCAGAAGTGAACAAAAAAACTTGTAGAGTTGAATTACTAAAGGGAAATAACTGAAACTGAGAAATCCAGAAAAGGCATGGCATGTGGATCTAGAAGAATCTACTTTGGTGGATGAAATAAAGGGTTTGGTTAGAAATTCGATTGTATATCACCTGAAGAAGGCTGGGGTGTACAACAGCCAAAACGTCATGAATATGACAACAAAGATAAGGACAATAGTATGAACAATGTAAATATTTTAACTTTTTTTTTTTTTTTTAATTAAATGAAGCCATGATTATTTTTTAATTAGGAATTCTTTCATGTTAATTTCACTTGCTTTTCATTGCAATCACTTAGACCTTCATTCTATGGTAAACAATCTGGATTGCATATATAGTATATAATTCATGTTGGGAAATGCTAGTATTCTAAATCAAATTTAATGTCCATCCAAAATCTTTGACCTAAAAGGAGTTGATCTGTGGTGACCCCAATATATACTGGGCTCACCCAAAGAGATACCAAAGTAAATTTTGTACTCAATGTCACTTAAGAATATCAAAAGACCTTTAGAGTTGACCTAGAAGGTGACCTAAAATCCACCAAGTGCAGAATTTAGCTTTAAAGGGTTTTGGTGGGTGTGCTGATATAAGCAGGAATTGAACTCAGCTGAAGATAGAATAAGATAACTGGATGACAGATAATTATTGGGTTGATCAAAATGTCTGTTCAGTTTTTGTTGACACTAAACTTCAAGCACTCTAATAAGAAGCTAATTTTAGTCTGTCACTTGCATATGTACACTTGTTAGATCCATGTTTTTCAACCTTTTTAACCAAGGCCCACCTAGGAGCAAATGAAAATATCATGGCACACTTAACAAAATTTTACATTTAAATGTTGTTAAGTAAAATGATAGATTTAAAAAAATACACAAATATGAACTTATTTTATTTCAATGTTTTTATTCAACTATTTCTGCAGCTTATTTAGTGTGAAACCTGTGCCTGGTATTTTTTCACAATTTCTTCAATGTTTGGTTGAATGTGCAATAAAAAGACCCTTGTTTCAGTTGAGTGTAGTCTTTCTTGTGTAGGGAGACCACAGTTGTTTTCCCTTGGGTTGAGCTCATGAGAGTTTTGGCCCCTTTTAGAGAGTAGAACTCTTCTGCTCTTTTTTGTCTTTACTTCCATTCTGGGAGGAACGGCCTCTTTACCTTCCTGACCACCAGGGTGTCCACACACGTGGAAACTGGTCAACATGTGTACGGCTTAGCAAAAGAAAAACGTACTTTCTGTTCACTTTTCTGCGGACGATCCAAGGCCATAAAGTTGGTATGTAATTTCTTTGTTCTCATTCTGTAAACCTCCTTGTTCCAATGGCTACACTAATGCTAATATTAGTATCGGTGTACTATTGGAAGGCTAAAACGTGTTATTCTTCCTAACGCAGAATAGTCAGTAAACTCTATGTGGCAGATACCACCATACTAATACTTGCTTTTTATTTTTGATGTTTTTGAGAGTTGATAAGCCTAATTCACATAAATAAGAAGTAGAAAATTGCAATAAAACTGATAAAGCCTTTTTAGCTAATGTGGGATATTCCTTTTGTATTGAAATCTAAAATGTATCTATGGGTGCCGTCGAATATTTTATTTTGAGCCCTTGTTCACTAGAAATGGTTAAATGGTCTTTAAAAAAAGGAATATTAAAACAAAGTATTTAAAATAACATAATCGAGGAATAGTGAAAAGAATTATTTGAAAAAAGTTTAATATTATTCCTTTATTCAAATCTGAATGCTGTACCATTACTACCCCCCCCACACACACACGTGTGCCATGACAATATTTCTCAGCATACTTAAGAGGATCTCGCACAGCACACTAATGTACCATGGCACAATGGTTGAGAATCATTGTGTTAGATATTTGACACTTCAACGTAGTTTAACATGAACTTGTGATGAGACAGGTTGTGCTTGAGGTCACCCAGAAAATACAAAACCAAAATGAACATTATTGACACCTTAAGGTTTTTTTATTTTAAAAACAGCAAGAAAGTGGTGGAAACCTGCAGGATTATATGCACTGTGTACAGAGGGGATGTTTTTATGAAACGTGTGTGCCAAAAATGGTTTTCAAGATTTCTATTGAGAAATCTTTTAGTTGAAGATGCCCCTCATTCTGATATTAACATTGATAAAATGAAGAAGTTAGTTGACACTAATCCTGTTATATGACCAAGATGATTGCAGATATTCTCCAAATATCCAAATAAAGTGTTGAAAACCATCTGCACCAACAGGCTCAATATTTGGGTTCCCCATCAATTGAATGAAGCTAACCTTACCCAACAAATTTCCATCTGCGATTTGTTGCAGAAACATGAAGAAAACATCCTTTTTTTGAAGAGAATGGCAACAAGGAATGAAAAGATGGATCACCTATAACAATGTGAAGTGCAAATGATTATGGAAGAAGCACAGTGAACCATCATAAACAATCTCCACAGCAGAACCTCACCCCAAAAGAAATTTACGATTTCAATTTGGGCGGATTGAAAGAGTGTTGTCTCTTATGAGGAGGACCATCAATTCAGATGTGTACTGTGATCAGCTGGACAAATTATACATAGCAATCCATCAGAAGCGTCCAGCACTTGGTAATCATAAGGGCATTGTCTTTCATCACGACAATGGCAGACTGCAAACTTCTTTGCAGACACGGGGCTTGGCTGGAAAGTTTTGCCATAGCCCCCATATACTCCTGACCTTGTGCCTTCAGACTTCCACCTGTCTCAGTCTCTTCATTGAATGGGCAGACCTTCAACTCTGAAGAGAATGTAATCATTCATTTGGAAGAGTTTTTCATCTGTAAAGCCAGGAAATTCTTTGAGCATGACATAATGGATCTGCTTACAAGATGACAGAAAATACTTGAATAAAATGGTAAATATATATATATATATATTTTAGGTCTGGTCCCTCCTCCCCCAATACTAAGTATGATTAAAAGAAATATTAAAATAAACCCTCTCTAAACTCAACCATGTCTCTCACACCACTCCTCGCTACCCTCTCTGTTAAATTACATAAACTTAATAATACCCGTCAAAAGTGGTAATTTTCATTTCATCTTTCGTTTCATTTTTGGAAGTGTTATCTGATGATCCAGCGTCCTTTAAAATGGTTCTGGTGAAATAAATTATTATAATGGAACCTTAAAGTGGTCTGTTTTTCTTTAAATTATTAGCTCTGGATTTACATTGAGCTCTCAGGATTTCATCCATACAGATTACCAAGTTTTTCATAACTTTATATATATATATATATATATATATATATACTAGCAGCCATACCCAGCTGGTCAATCAGAAAAAGTGTTCAATTAGAATGGAGCAAAAAACAGCATCATGTTTAGATGTAACATTTCTATCTTCTTTCAAATATTTTGAAAATATTTTCATTAAAAAACATTTTGAATTAATGCAGTTACTGATATAAGAGAAGTAGTCTGTATTTATTCAATTAAAGTTAGCCGAGGACATGAAGGAGTAAAACAGGCAACATGAAGACCCACTGATGAAAATTGGTTGAAAGATTAATGAAAAATAAGAAGAAACCAGTAAAAACCATTTTTCGCTATTTACGCGGGTTTTCACTATATGGGTGGACTCAATTATCAAATTAAATGACTGTTAAACAATCAACTTATTGTTGGCTACAATTGAGTGAAGTTTGTATTAGATTGCTTGAAAATTGAGGGAGTTTTTAGTTTAAAATTTATGTGAAATCAATTTTTTGTTTTTTGTGGTTTTTTGCTAAATGAGGTGGCATAGAAATAAAAAATGAGGTAAGTAACCCACATACTGAGTTTGAACGAAATTGGAGGAAAAAAGTTGAATTTATTGATTTTTGATCTGCTTCATCAATTATTTTTTTTAAATTATCGATTTTTTTTTTTTTATTTTTTTTTTTACACTAAGCACCTATCTCTTACATTGTACCATGTATATGCCAAGTTTGGTCAAAATCTGTTGCATGGATCTCAAGACAGACAGACACACAGACATCCTCTATTTTATATATAGAGATTGAATAAATGGCTTTGTGTTTAAAAAGTTTTGTCTTATTTTCACTTAAAAACTGAATAGACTTTTTGGTCAACCCAATATATAAATTCACAACTATTAAGAGAATCTATTTTTATGAATGAAACTTCTTCGAGTTCTGGGTCATTTAGAGCAAAGAGTTCTTTGAAATCTTTGATGTGGTTGGATGACCTTACAAGTGGAGATCTTTCATCCGGGTATTCATATTTGTTGGTTGGGACCAAAATTAAACGAGTTGGCTGGCAAAGTCAGTTGTTGTAGAAGGCTGCTTCAGTGCAGTCCGTTTACTAACATTTACTGACCTAACAAGTAAACAATACAACAAAATCCTAGCAACTCCTAACGGAAGTTATTTTGAAGTATTTCTAACTTTTTGCCAGTAAGCCTTTCTGTTTTGTCGCACACATGACAACACCCAACAAGAAGGATAAAAAGAAAAATAAGTGTTAAAAAGAAAATATATCTATGCTGTTTACCAAAAGATGCAGATTGTCTAAGTTGCTTTGATGAAAAGCAATTAAAATTAAAAATCTCTCTCTTCTTTCCCATCTCCTTTCTGCTATTTATTAATGATCTGCCAAGGAACATCCTCAGATCATTAGTAAACATATATGCTGATGATGTCACTGTTTATGGAAACACCTCGAAAAAGCAAGATATTCAGAGCCTTTTAGCTCATCTCTCCTCTGACCAAGCTCTAACAGCACAAAGGGGGAGGAACTAGCTTGTAACTTTCACTACCACTAAAACAAAGCTAGTAGCCTTTCATCATCACTGATTGTGCACTGAATTATTTCCTGTCATAATGGATGTATAGTGGTGTCAAGGGAAAAACCATCCTTCTGACACTGTTTTTTTTTTTTTTTTTTATACACCTATGAAGGTCTAAGATTACCAAATTTTTTTACTCTTTCATTTTCTCATACAAAATGTAATTTTTGGATTTCTTTTTTTGTTCTTGTCTTTTGCAGCCTGATGTTGTTCTTGTGCAAAGTAGTGAAGTTGTTTTGGAATCTGACGAAGTTGAAAGAGTGTTTGGTAGCCAATCATATCAAGCAGCTGCAAAACAAGGTAAAAATTTAACCTTCACATGAAATAGATTTGTTTTATTGTAGAGAATCATCTAAGATGAAGATATTCTTTCAAATACTGTATCTGTATGATGATTTTATTAATAAAATTGTTCTTTGTTATATTTCAGGTCCAGTGATTGGGCTCGAGTTGTGTGGAGACAATGTCATTAAATATTGTCAGGATCAGATAGTCAATATTATGAAGGGTACAACAGGTTTAGTATTTGTTAGTCAAAACAAAACCCTTGCTAAGAAACAAATTGAAAATTTCTTTAATTATGCTGACATGCAAATGAAGATCTGAAATTCATCCATTCCAATCTCTCTCAATTATTTGTGCTGCTTTTTGGATGGTTCTCAGTCGTGTTTGGCTGACCAGTGTCCACTCCATGATCCTGCATGACATGAAGTAACGCTACTGACCACAACGACTACTGCTGTATTCTTGACATCACTTTTCGAATATAAAAAGAAAAAAAATCACCGTCATTAATTTATTTGTTTTATTATTTTTGTAATTATATTATTTTACAGAAAATATTAAAACAGTTTTTTCATAAGTTTGTTTCACAAGTTTAATTTTTTCTGTTATATTAATTTTATTCACTATTGTTTTTTTTGTTTTTTTATGCTATCATTTGTTATGGTCCGATAAATACTTTCACTGATATAAAACAAGCTTTCCATCATTTGCTTTTGGTATAATTATTTTCAAACAAGATTTCTTTTGAATTTTTATTTTCAAAATAAAAAGTTAATATTTTTCTTTCATGAATTTAAAAAAAAATATTTTCAGTTTTGTTTTTGTTTTCCTCCAAATTTGTTTATTAAAAAAAAACAATAATAAAAAAAAAATCTATAAAAAAATTTCCCTTTATTTTTTTCCCTTCTCCATTTTCCCCAATTATAAGAATTCTTCTCTTTCCATCCAAATGTTCCATGTTCCCAATGAGTATAGCCACTTTCCAAACTGCTGCTTGGAATGTGATAGACATTAATCTACAATAAACTTCTTTGATCTCCATAGCAAAAAAACAATAAACTTGGACAGAATTCATTTGGGAATTTCTGAAAATCAAGTTTCATTCAGGCGTTATCTGCTGAGGAAAAGGAAAAATCTTTCTTTTCTTTTTTTTAAAATAATTCTAATTTAAAAATGAGTGTATTTTTTCCTTTCTTTCTTCAAACAAAAAAAAAACACAAATTGGGTATTATTTCTTGCAGAATTGCAATATGGCCCCGTATGTACCCAGTTTGTCTTTGAAACTTTCTAAAAAAAAAAAAAAAAAAAAATACTGTTTATTCGATATTTTTTTTTGTTTGAAAATGTTTTTAAATATAAAACTCTTATGTCATTGTATTTGAACTTTTCAACTTGATGCAAAGCCATTTTCAAACTGAATTTCTTTTTTTCAATGAAACCCTTTTAAATTTCTTTTCTCTTTATTCAAGTTTTTTGCCAATATTCCTCCACATTTGAAGCCTATTCTAATCTCAACTTCTTTAGCTTGTTTGGTAAAAGGAATGCTTCCTAATCAAGCAAGCCTTGATCTTAACCTATGAATTGGCATCTAGGCTCTGAAGCCTCCAATTCCCTCAATTTTATTGCCAATCAGTTTTAGTCCTTGTACAAAATGAACTCTATGTATTAGTATTTTAGTCAACATTTGAAATCATGTCTTGTCTAAAAGTGGCTTTGAAAAGACATTGTGACAGAATATTATTCATCTCTGGACAATAAATGAAAGAATGAATGTCAGAAAAACAGTCAGGAAAAAAAACTTACACCATATGTTTTTTCATTAGCCAAAAAACGTCACTTCTTCCCCAAACCATTTTGATTCTTTTGTATTTATCTGGGGAAGATGGGGAGTAAATCAAGAGCCTAACTAGTAGCTGGTGCAGACCAATTCTTCTGGGGATCTTGGATATTCTCATCCAGGAATTGGTTAAGGGAGTAAGTTAAACTTTCATTTGCAGCTTCTTTACTTACCTAAAATTAATACTTAGGAAAATGTTGACAATATTGACAAAGGTTAGTCTAGTCTAAAATATTAGAGCACCTACTGAGGAGTAAACTTGTCATTAATTGTGAGATTAGTTTGTTAACCACAACTCTGTGGTAGGCGACTCATATAAACTATGATAAAAAGACCTCTGACTGCCTTAAATAAAATATTTTTCAAACTTCTAAAAATAGACATTTTACATAAATGTCTTTCTCTAAAAAGGCAAACTTAAAATTAATATAAATTTTAAAATAAGATAATTTCTCTATTAAATTAAAAAAATATTGTCTCTCTTTGTCTACCTGTCCTTCTCTCTTTGTCTACCTGTCCTTCTCTCTTTGTCTACCTGTCCTTCCCTCTTTGTCTACCTGTCCTTTTCATTCTGCTTGTCTCTTCCTATCTGTACCTTTCTTTCTCTCTGTACCTCTGATTATCTGTCTCTCTCTCTTACTGCCTGTCCATCTCATTCTGTACCTCACTGCTTATCTCTCTCTACCTAAATATATCACTCTCTGTACCTCACTACCTGTCTCTCTCTCTCTCTCTCCACCCCTCTCTCTTTCTGTCTGTTATTCTCTCTCTGCCTGTCTCTCTCCCTCTCTAATTGTCTCTCATTCTCCCTGTCTTCCTCATTCTCTACCCCACTGCCTATCTCTCTCTGTTTTTACTTCTCTCTCATTCTACCTGTCCTTCATTCTCTATGCTTCACTCTGCCTATCTCTCTTTCTTTCTCTGTCTCCTACCCAGAAATAAAATCCAAGCTGCAATATTAAATTAATATAGGTTATTTACCAATTTAACAATTAAATGAGATTTTTGAATACTGACATTTTGCTCCTGAAAAGGGGATTTATTCTTAATGAAAAGCCATTTTTTCTGGATACAATAATTACAAACTGTAGAAAGATTGTTTAAAATTGTCATGTTTTTCTTGAAATTATGAATTATATTTTGTGCAGAAATGGAAATTTGCTTTATGCCCACATCTTAAGATCTTTTCATAGTTCACAATTAGAAATGAAATTTTTTTTGTGGCAGAAATGCACTATTTTTTCTTCTTTTGATTGAACACTCAATATGTATAGAGGGATGGACGGAGCAACAACAACAATAAATTATCCACTCCTTGTTACAAAATGCTTATTTCTAGTAAAATATTTATTGAAGATTTGCTTAAGAGTTTTGTTTATCAGCCACACTGAAAGATGTCAGTAGAAAGCAAGATTTTATTTTTATTTTTTGTCTTTTTCAAAAAAAAAAAAAAAATAATTTCTTACTTCTCATCCTCATCCTTTTTTCCTTCCTCCTCCTCATCTTCTTTATTTTTTTTTTTAGATTATAATTTTCTTAATTATTATTTGAAAAAAAATAATTGAAGAATGTGTCATACTTATTATTGCTGGGATTCTATTTCTGACATATTTTGCTTGAAATAACCAAAGGTGGTAAAAGTAGAAGCAAAAAGATTGATCGTCTGTGACTACAACATAAAAAAAGCAAAGCTTTATGCTCACAAATAAAAAAAAAAAAATGACTTGTTAAAAAGTTGTTTTTTCTCTTGACACTTATTATTTTGTAATACTTTCATTTCCTTGGCAATGTTTATTTACAAGATTATAAAAATATCTGAACCAAATACAATATATTTATTATTCACCTTTTATAAAGAAATAAATAAAAAATCATTTTATTCAAAAATTTTTTTTTAAATTATCAAAATATGTCAGCCATCTACAATGCAATTTCTATCATTTAGCATTTCATAAATAAGTATGAAAACAATTTTTTATTTATAATATTATAAATATATCAATGAGTTATAAAATAAATATTTATTTCTTTATAAATTGATACATGATAAACATTGTATTAGTTGGTTTGCATTTTTAGGGCTTGCATTTTCAGAAATTTGTAAATATAAAATTATTCTTGTAAATAAACAATCTAATAAATAGTGTTTAATATTTTTGTTGTAAATTCTCAAAGAACAAAGAAAATTTATAAATTTGCTTTCATATGTTTGGGTTTTATTAAAATCCTAATCCTCGCTTTTTCATTTCAGAGGGAGTGAAGGTAATTAAAATAATAGCAGTATCAAGGGGAAAAAAACATCCTTTTTTCACACACTTTTGTATTGCAGGCATAAAGGTTAAAGATTACCAAAAGCACTTATTTCCTCCTTTATTCCTCAAAAACCCATTAATAAGCTACCCTTGTTCTACCCCTTTTGTCTTTTCTTTTATGGATTTTTGTCTCATATATCTCTATCCCCCTCCCAAATACATCATTGTCTTGTTTTATAATCATTGCAGTACCAATCTACTAATGTCTTTTTGCTACCTATCTTAAATTCCCTCTATTTTTCCTACAGCTTCTTTGCGGTATGTGTGGTAAACGGAACCCCATAGCCATGGATTAAAGAACTGGAAATGTTTAACCTTCATGTCTGCAAAAAAAGAGTTTGTCAAAAGGACAGTTATTCCCTTGACACTGTTATTATTGTATATACTTTTGACTCCCTTGGCAATGTTTATTTACAGGATTATAGAAATAAGTGAACCAAACCATTTTATAAAAAAATGAATTTGAAAAAATTATCTTTTTTATTAAAAAAATTTATTAAAAAAAATTACAAAATTATTAAAATATTTAAATCAACTACAATGCAACATTTATTATTTATCATTTTATAAATAATTATGAAAACAAGTTTTTTATTCAATCTAATAAATAAATAGTATTTAATATCTTGTTTGGGTTTTATTAAAATCCTCATCATTTCATTTTAAAACATAATCATTGCCAAAGGAATCAGAATTGTATATAGTAATAGCAGCGTCAAGGGAATAACTGCCCTTTTTTTGACAGCGTTTTTTTTTTTTTTTTTTTTTGGGCACAATGGTTAAACAGTGCCAAAGAACTTGTGTCCAGAATTTAATAGAATCAACATCACTTCCATCCTAAAAAGTCATGCACAAAATTTTCAAAAACCTTTTCATTTTTTAATGGGAAATCTTTTAAAATGAAAATAAAATTTTCAAATCTCATAAAAGGCATCTTTTTTAACATATGGTTTGATAGTAACTCCCTAAAATATTTGTAGGATCTTAATGTTTAATTCACAAGAATTATGGATGATTTCATCTATTTTTTGGTTAAATTAAAGGGATTTTCTCTGCTAAGATAACAAAATTAAGATCTCTCATATGTAATAAAGATGCCTTTTTATTGATTGAATAGGAATTTCTTCCATGAAACTCATTGGCTGTAACTCCCTTCTTAACTGAGACAGCAGCAACAATTAAAAGCTTTTTTCTCTATTATCAACCTTGACAAATAAACAATTTTTACTTTTCTTTATCATTTGTGATAAAATTCTCTCAGGGGTGAGCAGTATTTTATATTTGCACCTCCATCCCAATTAGCAAATTTTAAAGAAATGGGTAATTTATAATATATATATGTGTATATTTGAGTATTTGGACAGCAATCCCTCTTTTATACAAGTTTCATTAAAATGACTGACAAGGTACTGCACTTAAGTATTTTATTTAATTTTTCTTGTGTTCTTATAATTTTCTTCTTTTCTGGATGTAAATTCTATAGAAATTGTTCAAATGTTCTGCATATCTGAGTGCTTTCGGCTATACTTTTAGCCATTATCAAGGATGATTTTATTTTTACTTTTAACTGAAAGTAACTTTTAACTTATCAGTTGTTTTTAATCAAATTTGTATAAAAGGATTGCTGGCAAAATACACAGATACACACGCACACACACACACACACACACACACACATATATATTCTGATATTTTTAAAGTTTCACTATTGATTTGTCATGAAAATGTACATTTGATTTTAGAATAAAAAATAATGCTGATTGGTTAATATATGGGGATATTTGAAATTTTTGGAAATAGTTAAATTTTCTCAAAATATTTTAATCTTCTGATGTAATCCATTTATTTTACACTTGTAATGTGTGGGAAAGCTGAAATATTTCAGAGAATAAAATATTTATATTTCTGTAAAGTTATATAAGCGTCTAGACAAATCCATTTTCCTTCTACCAAATATGCAATCACAAAAAGACTGGCTGGAAATTTTTTTTTTTATTAGCTATTTGATAATCAATATTTTAATTGTTATGATGTTATTGTACAAATGTTTGTTTTTAGAGGGAAATATTTTTAGAATTGTACACTAAAATTTCTCAAGTTATGAATACTATTTTTGTGAAAACTGATGTTTTTTCTTTTGCAATTCAAATTAATTTTTGTTTTCTCTAAAACAAAATATCCATTTCTTCACTAAATTTATTCATTTTTCTTTCCAATTTTTGTGTCTGATATGTGACAAAAAAGTATTTAAAAAAAAAAAAACTTGAAAATGAAAATTACATTTTTTTTCCCTTTTTGTTCAGAGTCCTTAAAATTGTGGGATAAAAATACAAATAAAAAAAATGTCACATTTTCTCTTATTTTTTATCTTTTCCATGTTGCCAAAGTGCTCTGCAGAATCTTTTGCGGAGATCTTTATAGTTTTAATCTTGTCCTTCTTTGCCTACTTTCCCTCCACAAGTTAATATATATATATATATATATATATATATATATATATATATATATATATATATATATATATATATATATATATATATAATTAGAATTTAGCTATATTTGTCAGTGTTTTTCATTATAACAAATTGGTTATTTGTGATGAAAGAAATTTTGATAATCATACTTATAGCTAACCTATATTTGTCTGAAAAAAAATTGGAAAATTTTGACTATAACAACTTATAAAGTATCAAACGTGTTTGTTACCTTTTTTGTCTTTTTCATTCTTTTCTCTCCTTTTTAACTTTTAGATACTTACCCAATTTTTGTCTTCTATAAGAAGATATTTTTGAAGATGTGCAATAAACATTTAAACCATGACAGAAATCGACACACTTTTTTGTAAGTCAAATATCGGTTACCTGTGTGCATGTTTTTCAGAATTACTTTCTTCTTTTTAAAATGGTTGTTGGAAAAAATGTGTAAAAAAATTTGATTTCTGATCTGATAAAAAACAGTCAGATAACAGTTGCTGATTAGTTTGTTTTGTCATGTGAATTAAATATTTTTTAAATGAAAATAAAAAAAATGCTGTAAACATATCATGTAAACTGACAATATTTGGCATGTGTTGGTATTCAGGATGTGAATACTAAACAATTTTTTAACAGTATTCTGGAGAGATATTTTTTGTATGCTTAAGTATTTAATATTTATTGAAATATGGCTTATTTATTTATTTTTTTTGCTAAAGGTTTGCCCAAGTTCTGCACCTTTATACAAATTGAACTGAATTGCAGAATTTTTATGCCATCTACCATGCCATGTAAAATTTATTTTCTCTTATTTCTTTTTTGCTCTTTTCACAATTATTATGCCCTACATGTGTTTAAAAAATACTGGTGCTGTCTGCTAGTATAATACAGTGTGAAATTTTATCTATAATTATTATCAGAATTATTACTTGACTTCAATATTTGTTTTTATTTTTTTGTTTTAAGATCTCAAAATGTCTGGACGACTTTGTGTCCTTACACTGTCAGCATCTGAAGAACTAAAATTACCGATCAAAGCAAAATACTAAAAATTCAAATCTTCAGTGACTGTAAACTTTGCATAAAATCTTGCTTTATATATATATATATATATATATATAAATAAAATATATTCTAACAGGAAGTCATTAGATGA